TTACAGAAGTACTAAAACCACTTTATGTAATAGAAGAGGGGGGGGGAGGGGTTGGCACAAGGGTTCTCAATCCCATGGGGCCACTTCTGAAATTATGTGGCCCTAACATTCCTAAAGCTGAACTCTATTCACAGTAATAGCCCAGCCCATTATTGTAAAATATCAGACCCAACATAGGTCGTATTGAGTGTTAACTGTTGTATGCCTTTTCCACAATATGCTAACTTATAATATGGTGGCTGTGTAACAGAAATACAGCGTGATTCATGCTAAGGGGCGTTGCTGTAAATTTCACCTGCTGTGGTGCTCACTCCGCTCTGCTGTAACTGGGAGATATAAACGCAGGGCACCAGGGAGACTCATTTATCAAAGCAGATTGTCTGCAAAGAGGATCATATTCTTTCTGGCCTACCTGAGACCAAGGGGAGAGTGGGGGAGAGCTTTGTTCCTCCCTTTTCTGTTAGGGCTCATCTCAGCTAGCTGGGTATGGTGGTAGTTCTTTGGCAGATGCAGCGACTCTGCTTACATTACATGGGTACATAGTTTGCTAATCCTGTTTTTCTGGTCAGCCAATTCCTTCCTGGCACCTGCTCTGCTGTTTTATCATTATCGCTCTAAATTAACTAGTAGTTACTAACATAAGAGAAGGAACAAAAGATCGTCAGTGACTGCAGACCACACAGATTGTTTGGTCTGTTCTGCCAAGGTGGCCATACACTAATAAATTATTTATCGGATATGACAACGGGTGTGATTGCTTTGTTTAACTATAGTGGATTTAATTCCAGTTCTCCTTCCTTAATAATATTGCAGCAATCCATTCTTTTAACATGTTGATAGCATATCATATGAAATATTGCCTTCTCTTTCTAATTCCTTTGTGTGGTTAATTAATGGACTCAAAGCATTTATAATAGACATGTGCACCGGCAAAAAAGTTGTTTGGATTCATTTCGTGTTGATTCGGATTTTGCGTTATTTGTTTTTCAGGATTTGGGTCTGAAAGTCAATTAGTTTCGGGATTTGGACGAAATTCGTTAGCGGTACAAATTGACGTTTTGTTTTCGTTCGTTCGTTGCAGCAAAGTGACATTTGAGGAAAAAAAAATGTTTTTCAGTCTGCTGAAGAGGAAAAAAAAACCATGAGGTTCTCCCCCAATTCATACCAGACCCTTTAGGTCTGGTAGGAATGTGAGGAAGGACCCCCCCAAGTTAAAACAAAAAAAATGTGCATGGGGTTCCCCCAAAAATCCTACCAGGCCCTTTAGGTCTGGTAGGAATCTTAAGGGGGAACCCCAGCCCCAACAAGTGTAAAAAAAAAAAGTGGGGCCCCCCTAACATTCCTACCAGACCCTTGATCTGAGCACAGACCCAGCAGGGCAGGAAAGGGGGGGGGCGATCTGGTGTGCCCCCCCTCCCTGTGCCTTACCAGGCCACGTGCCCTCTGCATCGGGAGGGTGTCCCCATGCCGATGGGGACAAGGGCCTCTTCCCCACATCCCTGACCCGGTGGTTGTGGGGGTCTGCGGGCAAGGGGCTTATTTGCATCAGGGTACCCCTTTAATTAAGGGAGCAGCCAGATGCCGCCTCCCGTGAATGAGTAAGGGGGTACTTGTACCCCTACTCATTCACTAAAGGGTTACATTCAAAAAATTTAGTCAATTTTTGAGTATTCCTTTAATAAATAGTCTTTTTTATTGAGTTTTCCAACATTAATCTTTATCAAGCAGATCAGCATTTTGTATTCCAAGTGCAAGGGAGCAGTCTCGCTGCATTGGGTCTTTCTGTCCACTAATAGTTCCGGGATGGCAGTGTCCCTCTTCAGGGAACTAACACCAACAGCCTGAATCATTGTCCCTTGCTTGAGTCTCCTTTAACTCTGTCAGATGTGGCCCCTTCCTTTGTCTTATCCAAGAAGGAATGATCCATAGCTATGCTGATTAGGAATGCAGGGGCTGTAAACCTCTATACTTTTCCCTCCAGAATTTGTATTCGATTCCTACAGCTGTAGTGTCCTCTGAGCCTTCTGCTGCAGATGCTCTGTCTGATGAAGAGTCTCACAAACCCTTACTGGATGAGTTTGCTCCTGAGTAACTACATTCAGCTGTCATAGCTCCCAGGATTAAAGATACCACATCAGCTCTTTTTGATGCAGTGCAAGCCACTTTTAAACTTGAACAGCCTGTTGCTTGTACTAGTGCTGATACTAGTTTGGGATCCCTGAGAGGTCAAAAGAATATAAAAACTTTTCCAGTACAATCCTTACTTGAAAGTGTTCTGTACTGTACACAGACTGCAAACTCCTGATAAATTATTTACTCCTCGTGTTTTACAGACAGATATTTGTTCAAGGAAGCTTATATTAGGAAGTGATCACCACCTTCATCCAATGTTGAATTAATCAGCTTACCAGACAGTAAGACTTCTAGTCTATAGAAGGCCAAACTAAGCTTGTGTCAGATGTTATTAATATACAAACATCCAGTACCCAAGGTAGAGGAAGGAAAACTGACAGGGGGAGAGCAGTTCCTCACTCCCCAAATGGGGTTTTAATTGCAAATAGCTTGCAAATATATGATTCCCATTTGGACATCATTTATCATTGGTACAGGAATCATAAAATGGGAACTTCACTAAATACATTAAGAAACATCAATCCTTCCTAACTAATAATAAAAACAGCATTGATTTCACCATTAGAGGCAGAATACAATAATCCCTACAGTAAAATTCTGATTACAATAATTATATATTATTAATTCATATGCTATTTGCCGAGAAAAATCAGTTGTTGGCTAGAAAGCAATTTACATTCAAGTCAACATTTTATCCATTGTAGACTAATGTGTCCAACCTACAGTACATATCCATTTAGTCTCTAATTTTGACACTTCCCTTTTCCTATCCCTCTCAAGTTTTATCCTAGCCTTTCAATCCCAATGCATTTCAACCCAATGGAATTTAGAGAAGTGTAGAGACAAATTGTGTGTTTTTTGTCCGTGTTTGATGTTCCTAAAGTGTTTATTAATTCTCACTTACAGTACCTGTATGGTTTGCCCCACATACTGTAAACCGCACAGGCACTGCAGCAGATACACTACGTGGGTGGTATGACAGGAAACTAAATGAGCTAATCTCGAAAATTCTTCCCCAGTTGACTGGGAGTAAAAACTTGTCTTTTTAAATCTTTTTTTTAATAAAATTATTTTATTTTCAGACATTACATTTTTTATAGTATTCTTTCCTAGGGCACATATGTACTTGTTTTGTTTTTTCAATCACCTACAGTGTGGAACCAAGATGTCTCTTGGTTCCACACTGTGGAGCCATGAAGGAAAGGGGCCTTCTTAAATATAATCGGGGGGTTCTTTGGAAGCATCAGACCCAAAGTTTTGTCTTTCACTAAGATGGGCCAATATTTCTTAAACATTTTATTTATCAACCTATGCTGTAAGGAGTACCCTGTGATAAAAGCAAATTTAAATATATTGTTTTTATTTCTTTTGGTCGTTAATTCAGACATTATCCTTATTCGTGTCTTCAACCATTTTCATATGAAGTTCCAACCAGGAGTTATCAAATCATTTTTCCAGAAATCTATGTAATCTATTAATTATTTAACCTCCATTACCAAAAATGGTTAAATCAAGGAACTTAACCTACTCTTTACTGATATCAATGGTCAACGCTATACCCTTGTCATTACTGTTATGTTTGGATATAAAAGAGTCTAAAGAGGCTCTGTTCCCATCCCACAAAGAAAATATCATTCATATACCTTTCCAAATCTTTGTGTTTGCAACCTGTCATTGCGGTTATTGTCAGTCTGTCAAACCTTATGGGAATTGATTAAACTTATGTCAAAGGATCCAGCTTCTGTCCTTACTGACACTTTAGTTGTACAGCGCTTAGAGCTTATGCCTACTGCTATTGTGTAGAAGGGTTAGTTGATAATATCTATCTTATTTCCTGAATGATTCTCCTGTCTTTGAATATGTGGAGAACTCTTTGTGTGAAACGTTGACCTGCAGAACAGCAATGTAAAAAGCTTGAAAAAAACCCTTTGATGATAAACGTCTATTAGGCAACTTTTTAAACAATGTCACTGGTGGAAAGCATACTTATTTACCCCAGCTGAAGTAGCCTGAGCCATAAACTGTAAAGACTCCGTTCTCTCCCAAGCCTTGCCTTGCTGACAGGCTTCATCACTACACCATAGAATCCAATTTTTTTTTTCCTTTATCGTTTTTTTGTACTTGTAATGGTTACTTGTATCTGATCAAAGAGGTTTTAATTCACAAAAATAAGTGCATTTTTTTGGAATGTTTTTTGGCTCTGTCACTACAGGACACAAGGCACAACAAGACACTGGGGCCACAGGCCATAGAACACAGTGGAGGCTGCAGAAATTCATCACATTCGAAAGTGCCTCAGATGCAAAGATCGTTCAGACATCTTTCCTCAATGACAAGGTGAAGATTCTGCAAACAGGCGCAGGGACAGTTAATGATACCATGTTTTCTATTACATGACCATTTTTCTTTACTTTTTTTCTGCTCCATAGTAGTACTGTCTGATTTATGAAGTTTAAAGGCCAAGATAAACAGTGTGTTAGTAAGGTAGGCCTTTACATTACATATTTATTGGTTAACCTAAAGGAGATTGCACAATCAAATTGCAACAAAAAAATGAAAACCAGAAAATCCAGTACATCAATGTGGCTTTTATTTAACAAATACATAAAAACATAAATAATACCCATAATTAAGCCCAAGGTGTCATGGTGATGTATTTGTTATAACATGTTTGATTTTGGAGTTTATCTGGAATGTTACCACAATAAAGTTGGATTTTTATGGACACCAACTTTTGTGGGGCTGATTGTACAAGAATTGCCAAAGGAGTGGGAGCACACTGAAGCCTGCACCTGGTGCATACATTTGACTGACAGTCAGAGGTGGAATTGGAGCAGTGAGGTCTTGGTGCTTTTTGGATATTACATAAAAACATCAGACTTAAAACAGAAATCTAATGTACCAGACTAAAATACATTAAAATGTGCAATATTTTTCATAGTTTATCATATTTCCCAGTTTTGTTCCAGCAAGATACTTTTCAAACTGTGCATCCACCTCTTTGCTCTGTTCTTCAGTAAAAAGACTCTTCCAGTCCCCAACCTCTCCTGTAAAAGCAATACAATAAAAAATAGTTATTATAATTTAAGAGTTGGAATCAAGTAGCAATCCAATTTGAACTTTATAAAAAAAATTAAAAAGAAGTTATCATTTTGGGACCTCAACCCAAAAAATTAACCCCATTTCTAAACTTGACAAAAAAAAAACATAATCCTATGGAAGGCATGCATCGACTCTTATAGGTGAAGTGCTGTATTTGCTGCTGTTTTTTCTGATTTTAATGACATGCTGAAAGCCCCCTCCCAATTTTTGACTACATTATTAGATATATGATTAGATATCTCTAAGAACAGTTTGGCATTTTCCAAGAACATTTTTTTGGAGGTCTGTCAATTTATGAATGGTACAGAAAATGGTGTGCAAATTTTTGTTCAGCATAAGGCGAGCAAAAACGCCAACATATCTTGTTCAGTTAGCCGTTCTTTAAGAATAGCCCCCCTATCCCTAAAATATGCCTGGGCACCATAGTCAAATTTTGATCTGATGGCTATAGAAAATTAACCACCAACATTGTAGAGAACAGTTCTGTTTGGCTAGATATAATTTGAATGGGTTGCTGTTTATGTTTCTTACAGTGAGGCTTATTTATTTTAGCAGTTTGAGAATCTTTACTCAAAAAAAATGTATGCATGTTCACTACATTTATATAGTGCCGTCAATTTACACATTCACATCAGTCCCTGCCCTTAACTTTCAAAAGTTTTAATTGTTTTCATCGAAACAAAAAAAAAAATCACAAAACACAACATTACTCACAAAGGAGAGAAAAAAAAATCAAAAAAACCAATTACATTACAAAACACTGGTGTGTATACACGCCCAGTTACATCCAAGAAGCTCCCGGCAGGCCGTGTATACACAGCGGCCGGCCGGGAGGTAGTTAATAGCATTATTTTATTAACAAGCCAATCAGTAACCGTTGATATTAATATAAAAATAGTTACTGCCATAAGATCCCTACCAAGCATCTTTAATACAAAACCAAAGGCTCAATAGCATTCATTATGCATGAGTAGTGCAGCTATAGGGTTGCATCCCCCTACCAAGCAACCACCATGGGTGAGACCATACCATTCCAGCCAAAGTGTTTTCCCATTCCCATCATGCCAGAGGAATGTCTATAAGTGGTCCTGGCTTTTCATATAAATAGAGTTACTCTACATTTAGCAATAGCCCAAAACCTCCTCCACCTGACATGATGTCCATGGGAGTCCAATTCAGAGTCCGTTAAATCCTTCACCCCTATTTTAAATCTTAAGGGTATTAATCTAGATTTATAACCCCTAGCAGACTAAATTAGCTGACAGTGTTTACAAAAGCAATATACAAGAAAATACACATAAGACAAAACAATATGACAACACAAATACCCCCCCCCTCTAATGAAGGCAAAATCTAATACAATATTAATATCAACGGTAAACGTTTGGTTTTTGGTCGGGATGGGTTAGGGTCCAAACTCTACCCTTTTCTTTTTTTCTTTCCTTTCCTTCCCTCTTCCCCTCTTTCCTTTTCCCTCCTTCCCACTTCTCTTTCCCTTTCCTTCCCTTTCCCCCCCCCCTTATGTATTTACATTATTGTAGGACTTGTATAGGCCAGCCAAGGCCCCCAGATCTGGTCGAATTGTGTCACTTTATCCACAAGAATACTTGCTAGCTTTTCATGGGTCATGATCCAAGACAGCGTATTCTTCACCTGCCTCAATTATATCCTAGGGGTTTTCCAGGCCCTAGCAATGGTGATTTTAGCTGCCAAAAATATAAAAATTATTAATCGTGTACAGTGCCTCGAGACTCCGGGGACGGCCTCATTAAGGAGGGCATATCCGGGGTCCCTAGGAACGCACACACCCGTGACCCGAACTATTAAATTGAGAACCTTTCCCCAGAATCTACAAACGCAAGGACACGACCACCATACATGGTACATGGTGCCCCCAAGCCCACATCCCCGAAAACACAAAGGTGATGATCCTGGGAACATGCGAGCCAGTCTAGAGGGCACCAAGTACCACCTAGAAAAGACTTTAAAATTAGCCTCCAGTAGTGAGACATTCAATAATCCCCGAGTCGTCGCCCTAATGCGTTGCTTCCATATCTCTTCAGAGGTTACCATATTTAAATCCTGTTCCCAGGCTAGCATGTATGGCTGTTTAGGGGTGGGCTTCAACATAATGGAGTAGAGAAGGGAGATAGCCCCTCTTTGATTAATAGACTGAAGGAACCGGCGTTCATAATGCTAATATAGTGTGCAGGTAGTGATTAATTTGGTAGTGGCGAAATGATTCTGACAAGGGCATGTCCAGAGTCTCCCTGCAATACTCCAATGTCAGAGGCCTCCCCTTCCTGAGGTACTGTCCAATTCTATACAAGCCCTTGTCCAGCCACCACTGAAACAATTTAGGATCCCTACCAGGCTTAAATGCCGGATTCCGATATAATGGAGCAAGGGGGGTGTGGGGTGAGCTCATATTTCCATAGGTTTTTACCCGATCCCAAAGGGCCAAAGAGTTAGAAAGAGTTGGGGCCATAATGGGTGGACGCAATCTAGGAGGCGTCCATTTTAATACATCTAAAGGTAGATCTCTAGCTGCCTTGGCCTCCATAAGGATCCAATCAGGTAGTTCCTCTGCTGAATATATAGCTGACAGTTGGGCCATACGTGCAGCCTGATAATACTTATGTATATTTGGAACTCCCAACCCCCCTGACTCTGCCCTTAAGCAGCTTACAATCTAAGGTCCTTATCTCATGTTCATTCAAGCCCAAGTTAGACAGGAGCCAATTAACTGCATGACAACATGTCTTTGGAGTGTGGGAGGAAACCCACACCAACACAAGAACTTGCAACTTCCTTGCAGATAGTGTTCTGACCAGGATTTGAAAACAGGGGACCACCAGTACTGCAAGGCTGAGGTACTAACCATTACGCCACATGTGAAGCGCAAATTTCTGTTCACTTTGAATACCCAATCATGTGCAGATGTTTTTCAAATGATTAGATAATTAAAAGCTAATATTCACACATTTTTTTCATTGAAAATTTGTAATTGCTTTAGTAAATCAGCCTTATGTGGGGGGCGGGGGACTTAAAAAAATGTTTTCTTTTTTACATTTTTTTTATGCTTTATTTATTTTTTTATAATTCTTTAATTTTTATATTACTTTTTTTTAGATCCCATAGAGATACATAACTTTTCTGAAAACAAATCATTTTTCTTTGCAGATGATTGAATGGCTCATTGGTTGGCTAAAGTGAACAGCTTTATTTTGCTAAGCCCTCTTACTTTTATAAATCAAACCCAACATGGTTGCTTTCAATCTGTGTTATTTGTACAATACAAGATATAATTAAGTTTAAATAACTTACCCTTTCGGAAGAAAACATTCCCAAGATTTCCATGTGACTTAGTGGAGTTCTGCTTCATAGATGAAAAAGTAGTTTTTTCCTGTACCAACTTGATTTGCTCATCTGTCAGAGCTAAGCCATAGAAGTCACATATTTTTTTCAGCTCTTTTGGTAGGTCCTTTAGATGTGAAATATATAACGAGCAATTACTGCTTTAATGTTTTACCATCAATAGCAAAAATATATGGTTATATTATTAAGAACAGGATGATGTAATTTCCACAGCATTGGAGGACTCTCACTAGAAAATACACTCCCAAGATTGTGGAGAAGTAGGTGATTGTCAACCAATTCACAATGGAGGCAGGTGAATACTCAGCTTCATTCACAATTAGTGTAGGCCCTCATGATTAAATCATTCAGGAATTTAGGTAAGGACACTGACAGTAGATAAAGCAGGCTGAGGGAAGAGTATAACATCTTCAGGCCAAAAGGGAAGTGGAAGAAAAACTGCAGGTCTGTACCAGGAGCAGATAGCTAAATAAAACTCAGCAGCTTTCGCTGACTGTGGGTTCCACTTTAAGTGGAGGTCCCAATGGGAGAGTATCTCCATTCAGGACCACCAGCCCACTCCATCCCTGATGTCATTGTATCTGCCCTGCCACAGTTGGAGTGCCTAGTCTAAATTTAGCAGGGAGCTAGGCTGTAGTCAACCTGAGCTCTGATTTTTATCGTTTTTTGCATTTATTGGGTTTACCCTAAGCCTAGGGCATTATTTGCTTCTGCCAGTTGTTGGGGAGTGTTCTCCAGCAGATAGAGCTAGAAAGCACATTGTTTTGGGTTATTCATTTTTATTAAAAACCCTGGCTATTCAGTAAACTCTTTATTGCTGTTGATGTATATTGGGGAAAAAGATAAATATTCAGGTAGCTCTTCTAGAAGGGTCTTTGCCTCCCAGGCTTTGCCTAGAGAGGAGGTCAATTGTGAGGAGCCTTTTTGCCTCTCGGGCTTGCAACCTAGGAAGGCCTCATCAGCTTCAAAATCCAGTCCCAGGAAATAGGAAATGCTCCTATGCCTGGGCCTTGAAGGTAGGAAGGTGGCTAGAAAAGGGCAGCACTTTCAGAAAGCTGACTCAGTAATTTGCTGGTCTCAGCCTAAAGGCACACATAGAAGAATCGCTGATCTCAGTTTAAAGGTACGCCGTATCAGAGGGACTAAAGTTATTTCTAATAGAGTGGAAGGATTTTTGTCGCTGTTTGAGTATATGGTAATCCCTATCCCTCTCTCCCATGGACACTGAGCCAATAAGACCTGCAAATAAAGAACGATAGCATGGATGTCGGTCAATCAGTTGCCGCCGGTTGGTCGGTGAGTGCTTTAGGACATCTGTAGGTCAGATGATCAATAGTAAGGCTAGGAGGGCATGATAAACTCAGCGGCTCCTTAAAGGAGAACTATGAGGTGAGTGATTTACACACATCCTCATAGCTAGAGCCGATGTGTGACACTGAAACTGTTACACGTCGGCTCTATAGATCGGAAAATGAGCGAACACATATTGTCGCTTGCTCACTTCCTGATCATCTCCCTGCAGAGAGCAGTGACTGTCTGTCATGGCTCCCTGCAGGGATTCCCCCTCCCCTCTCCGATCCTCCTGCACTGACTGGAGGAACGGCTGGGGGAGGGGGCGGGCACAGCTGGCTCTGCCTCCAGGTAGACAGAGCCCGCTGTCACTCACACAGCTGGGTGGATCTCGACAGTATTGTCGGGATCCGTCCTGGCTGTGGCGCTCTCATTATATATCGGGTAATAGCCTGCTATATATGGAGCTTTGGGTCCAATCATTTATTTCAGTAGTACACACTTTTAATTACATTTGGAAGTCCCTGTAGTGTATTCTATAGATTTATTTTATACTGTACACAAATCTTGCAAGCAAAACCTGTACCAAATTTTAAGCATAAAAGAATCAGATTCCAGTTTTACTGCAAAGTTATTGGAATTACTATAGACTGAAGGGCAAACACTTACCGCTTTCATGTCTTCAAATGTAAGTACAAGGATATTTCCATCATCAATGTGTTTCTCCCACTGAAGGGTAAAATCAAAGTACGATCCATAGATTACTGAAATAAAGACAATATGAAACACTTACAATCGAAAATGCCGTAAAACACAGACAGTGACCCTAATTTATTAAAGGAGAAGAGCATGCTCACTGTCAAAGTGAATTTTTACTTATCTTAGTGAATAATGTGTAACAAAAAAAAAAAAACTCACTTTGCAAAGAATACTCAATCATGTGCAAGGAGAATTAAATAAACATTTGTTTTTGCTTGCACATGATTGGATGATTAAAGTTAGCATACCTTCATATAATTTACTGGATGAAAATACCTTAAACTTAGAGAATGAGGTTACGTTGTGCTGACTTCAATCATTCATGTGCAAGCAAACACCCTGTATTTTTTATTTTCATTTAATGAGGTAAGTAAAAATTCACTTTGCAAAGCGCAAAAATGCACTTTGATAGTACATGCTCTATTCTTTTAGTAAATCAATCCCATTGTCTCCCATGTTAAAGGGTTTCTCTACTTTACCTGAAGGCTTAGCGCTTGACCCTGAATTAGCAATGAACAGGTAAAGTTTTTACATTCTGCACAGGAAACTTTTGATGCAATATCCCAGATAGCAAGCAATTGAGCTGCAAGTTTGAAAATGACTTGCTAAACTATTGCAGACTTGCCAAGCTTCACAATTTTGTTGCACAATTACAGCAAGTCTGTGTTGCAAGTCTCCAGATCAACGTACTTTGCAAAAGTGCTGCACACTTGCAGAGCTCTTGCTGTAGACCTGCCAAGCAAATTTGCTACAAATTCAAAAAGTGTCAATTAGAACTTGTGCTGCGAGTGTTCTGCAAGTCTACAACTTGCCAGGAATGTGTGCAGCAAGTTAAAAAGAAATACAATTTAACCCTGCCACTAGTGTGTGCCAAGTTATCCTTGCTATCTGGGATCCTCCCAGTAGATCATTTTCCTTTTATTAATATATAATGGCATTATTAGCTAAAATATTGCCAACATTTTATTAAATGTTTAGAGATCAAAATGCAGTTGTACATCTAAAAATATGTTAAGAACACAAGTAGCTGACATTAAGAGTGTAGGATTTTTCCTTTTTCATGCGCCCCCACTACATTTCTAAGACATTTCTTTTTCAAAGACATCCAGTACGTACCATTTCCAGTTATATAATCCTTGAAGAATAAGTCCCAAGATTCATATGAAGGAAGCACGGGATTATTGTTTGAGAAATGGTAGTAAGACACAGCTGTGTCTTTTGGATTCCGAAGGATGATTAACATCTGCAAAAAAAAAAAAAAAAGATAGATATATTAAAGAGGCATTGTTACATGATGCATACTGTACATAACACATTATATACTGTATAAAGAGCTATTAGTGTATCTAAACACACAAAAACAAATGTGATATATTGCAGCATACCAGTCCTTAGATGTGTTGGCTGCATTAGTCTTCTTTTCTCAGGTTTTTGTTTCTTTATTTTCACCTGGTAATCCTGCAAATGGCAACGTTCCTTTCCTTTGGTGGCTACATAACTGTGGGGGGAATCTATAGAGGTCACTAGGCTGCTTTCCTGATTTGGACTTCAAATACGTCTTCCTATCTTCATCTCCATTGCATGGGGGGCAGAGGAATTAGTTTACAGATGATAGCTTGGAAGGAAGATATCATTGTGCCTTCTGTTCACTTCACAGAAAGTTATAAGGACGCTGCATTTCTGGCAAGATCAACAGGTATTTTCTGTATTTGCTGAAAATGAAAATAAATGCAGACACACATCTAAGGAATATATAAAAGCTGTAATATATAAAAATGTTGTTCTTGGGTTCAAATCATTTTTAAGTAGTCTTGATGCCAATCTCCTCATAGGAAAAGAAAGGCCTAGGATCCATTGAATGTTCGCGGAAACTAGTCAAAAAAACAGGTTCGTTAAATGTCCAAGCTAACTGAATACAGGGCCGCCTGTGTCCTATCAAACAAGCCATTGATTGCTAAGGTACTAGCCGCTGGCCCACACAGTGACATTAGTTGCAAGGATGCAGGCAGGTGCACCATAACAACAGATGTGGCTATGGGCTGCCGGCATCTTAGCAACCAATAAAGCTGTGTACCCAACGATATGCAGGGAAAATAATGTGAGGAAGCCATAGTAAGCAGCAACATCCTCTATGCTACAGGACTTAGAATATCTATCCATTAATGCAGGAAAAACACTGTTGAAGAAGTTGTACCAAGCTGCAGCATCCTGGCTGCTAAAGGACTTGTTTTCCATATGGTTGAACATCTTCACTTATACTTTACCTTGGTCTTCTTTTCAAAAAAAGTTTTAGGAATGTTTTCATATGTAATATGTGATGACATGACTCTTGGCGATGGCTGTTGATTCAGGTACTTTAGAGAAGAAAAATAAAAGGTTAGTGGTAATATATGTTTATTTTTTTCATCAAGAAATAACATACTGTATGTACAGAGGAAGAAGGGAAAGTAGCATTTCTCTGTTGGAGTCACGGATAAAGCAAAGTGAATAGCTTGAGTTTTCCGGTTTCGGTCCTCATCTCCATTCCCACCACACACACAAACTGATTCATCATAAATGAGCTCATTACAATAAAGATTTAGATCCTATAATTTTCTGCAGTTTGTAAGTTGTCACTGTTCTTTGCACTCCTTTTACTAACCTGCCAGGTTTAATATTAGCTGGGTCATGTCCACCAGAGGAGACATTTACTCGAGTGGACAGTCCAATAAAAACACTAATACCTGCTTTGTATGCTATTTATGTGTTTAATTGTTTCCATAAATGTACATGAGAGAAAAGGGAGACAGACAGGAATTATCATGCGAGACACACAACGAATATATTGCCAGTTTTTTAATATGATACAGGGTCCTAGAATGTTCTCACCCTTACAAACTATATATTTTAAAACCCAAGTGAACTTTGAATTCAACTGCTTACTGTCCGGTCGTTGTAATTAAACAGCGAGATGGCTCACACTTGAGGTCGTGTGAACGTTTTTAAATGTTGGTCGTTACATACAAGCGCTTGGGCAGCTATAGAGCCGTCCGATCACTTGTACGATGCCCCTCCCATCACTGCTCACCCCTTTCAATCACTGAACCCGGAAGTGATTCCAGATTCCGTGTCATTTCTGTGCTTCATCAGCTTTTTTTGGGTCTATAGGTGACATTAGGAGTCTAACAGACCCCTGATGTCTCTATGAAGAGGACCTGTCACCATATCTGTGCTATTACATAAGGAGCATGATAGATCCCTGTGATAGTAATAAAGGTTAAGTGGAAAAAAAGAAAAAAAAGTTTAAAAAAATGTAATTCACATATAAAAAATGAAATTTAAAAAAACAATATTTTTTAAAAAAGTTCCCCACATACAAACAAAAACAGGCGTCGGGGGAGCCTATGTGTGAAAACCACAGTTGTGCCACACATGTTCCATTTCAAAAGTCAGAGTGCGAGCAATACTTCTAGGGCCATCAATCACTGCTAACACTAAATTGATGAGCAGTAAAAGCTTTTAAAGCAACACTTGTGGGCAGTTTTGAGTATGGTGGGTTTTTTTGCGATTTCACAGGCACACACAATTATAAGGCCTGACATGTTTGGTGTCTATTTACCCGACATACCCCCATATTTTACCTAAAAATTGGGTAATAAAAATGTTTCACAACAGAACATAGGGAAAACAGTTTTTTTGCAAAATTGTGGGTACTTATTTTCTTTATATAGTAAAAAATAAAAACCCCAGTCTCTATCTGTCACAAAAAAATTACATCAAATTCATTTCGGTATGATGTTGCATGACTGAGTAGATGTCAAAATACACTATATTACCAAAAGTATTGGGACGCCGGCCTTTACATGCACATTAATTTTAATGGCATCCCACTCTTAGTCCATAGGGTTCAATATTGAGTTAGCCCACACTTGCAGCTATAACAGTTTCAACTCTTCTGGGAAGGCGTCCACAAGGTTTAGGAGTGTGTCTATGAGAATGTTTCACCATTCTTCCAGAAGTGCATTTGTGAGGTCAGTTACTGATATTGGACGAGAAGGCCTGGCTTGCAGTCTCCACTCTAATTCATCCCAAAGGTGTTCTATCGGGTTGAGGTCAGGACTCTGTGCAGGCCAGTCAAGTTCCTCCACCCCAAACTCGCTCATCCATGTCTTTATGGACCTTGCTTTGTGCACTGGTGCGCAGTCATGTTGGAACAGGAAGGGGCCATCCCCAAACTGTTACCACAAAGTTGGGAACATTAAATTGTCCAAAATGTCTTGGTATGCTGATGCCTTAAGAGTTTCCTTCACTGGAACTAAGGGGCCAAGCCCAACCCCTGAAAAAAAAAACCCCAAACCATAATTCCCCCTCCACCAAACTTTACACTTGGCACAATGCAGTCAGGCAAGTACCGTCCTCGTGGCAACTGCCAAACCCAGGCATGTCTATCGGATTGCCAGACAGAGACGCGTGATTTGTGACTCCAGAGAACGCGTCTCCACTTCTCTAGAATCCAGTGGCAGTGTGCTTTACACAACTGCATCTGAAGCTTTGCATTGCACTTGGTGATGTAAGGCTTGGGTGCAGCTGCTCGGCCATGAAAACCCATGCCATGAAGCTCTCTACGCACTGTTGTTGTGCCAATCTGACGGCCACATGAAGTTTGGAGGTTTGTAGCTATTGACTCTGCAGACAGTTGGCGACTTCTGCACACTGTGCGCTTCAGCATGTTTTGACCCCGCTCTGTCATTTTACGGGGCCTACCACTTTGTTATAATACCACTAACAGTTGACCCTGGAATATTTAGTAGCAAGGAAATGTCATGAAACACCTGAATCCAATGATTTGGGGGGGGGTCCCAATAC